GGATGTCACAGAATACCTGGAAGTGTGTAGTATGTCACAGAATACCTAGAAGTGTGTGGCATGTCACACAAAACCTGGAAATGTGTAGAATGTCACAGAATACCTTGAAGTGTGTAGAGCATGTCACACAAAACCTGGAAATGTGTAGGATGTCACAGAATACCTAGAAGTGTGTGGCATGTCACACAAAACCTGGAAATGTGTAGAATGTCACAGAATACCTTGAAGTGTGTAGAGCATGTCACACAAAACCTGGAAATGTGTAGCATGTCACAGAATACCTGGAAGTGTGTAGCATGTAACACAATACCTAGAAGTGTGTAGCATGTCACACAACACCTAGATGTGTGTAGCATGTCACACAATACCTTGATGTGTGTAGCATGTCACACACTACCTAGATGTGTGTAGCATGTCACATAATACTGTGATGTGTGTAGCATGTAACACAATACCTAGATGTGTGTAGCATGTCACACAATACCTAGATGTGTGTAGCATGTCACACAATACCTAGATGTGTGTAGCATGTCACACAATACCTAGATGTGTTTAGCATGTAACACAATACCGAGAAATGTGTGTAGCATGTCACACAATGCCTAGATATGTGTAGCATGTAACACAATACCTAGAAATGTGTAGCATGTCACACAATACCTAGATGTGTGTAGCATGTCACACAATACCTAGAAGTGTGTAGCATTTCACACAATACTGTGATCAGTGTAGCATGTCACACAATACCTAAATGCACGTAGAATGTCACAGTACCTATAAGTGTGTAGCATGTCACACAGTACCTAGAAGTGTGTAGCATATCACACAACACCTAGATGAGCATGGCATGTCACACACTACCTAGATGTGTGTAGCATATCACATAATACTGTGATGTGTGTAGCATGTCACACAATACTGTGATGTGTGTAGCATGTCACACAATACATATGAGTGCAGCAAGTCACACAATACCTAGATGTGTGTAGCATGTCACCCAATACCTAGATGTGTGTAGCATGTAACACAATACCTAGATGTGTGTAGCATGTCACACAATACCTAGAAATGTGTAGCATGTCACACAATACCTAGAAGTGTGTAGCATGTCACACAAAACCAAGATGGGCATAGCATTTCTCACAATGTGTTGAATGTAGAATGTCACAGAATACCTTGAAGTGTGTAGAGCATGTCACACAAAACCTGGAAATGTGTAGGATGTCACAGAATACCTGGAAGTGTGTAGTATGTCACAGAATACCTAAAAGTGTGTGGCATGTCACACAAAACCTGGAAATGTGTAGAATGTCACAGAATACCTTGAAGTGTGTAGAGCATGTCACACAAAACCTGGAAATGTGTAGGATGTCACAGAATACCTGGAAGTGTGTAGTATGTCACAGAATACCTAGAAGTGTGTGGCATGTCACACAAAACCTGGAAATGTGTAGGATGTCACAGAATAGCTGGAAGTGTGTAGTATGTCACAGAATACCTAGAAGTGTGTGGCATGTCACACAAAACCTGGAAATGTGTAGAATGTCACAGAATACCTTGAAGTGTGTAGAGCATGTCACACAAAACCTGGAAATGTGTAGGATGTCACAGAATACCTGGAAGTGTGTAGTATGTCACAGAATACCTAGAAGTGTGTGGCATGTCACACAAAACCTGGAAATGTGTAGAATGTCACAGAATACCTGGAAGTGTGTAGCATGTCACAGAATACCTGGAAGTGTGTAGCATGTCACAAAATACCTAGATGGATGCCGAATGCACAACCAAACACCACAGTCACTCATTTCAGAATCCTTTTCAAGCAGTTTGCTGAATTGGTTCACAGTATTTGCAAACAACTAAAACATAACACAACATTTCTCCTTGGTCAGCTGTTCTTTATTCACATTAGCAACAGCATCAGCATGTCAAGGGATGTGATGGACACTCAGCAACAACTGATCCATTGTTACCCAAGTGCAAGGGACAGGTTGACAGAAACAATCTCATTAAAATCAGACCTCAGTTCTCGCTACCACTAAACAAAGATCTCAAGACATCCCATTAGGGGTCACGTCAGAACGACCTTTCATCCGACCAATCAGTGTGTCGCTTACCAGATTATGAAAGTGACAGTCGGAATGTGATTTCTAATCTTGCAATCTCGAAAACTTTAACATGGGGTATTCTGAACGATAGTTATGGGTTTAACGACTGAATCCTTACAATCTAGAACATCTATTAGCCATTCCAGAATGGTTTTTTTGTACAGGTTTAAAATGTGTAATCGAGAATTTGTCAAAATATGTTTTGAAGCGTAGGCGCCAATTTGAAATTTGTGCCGTAAAGCACGAGAAAGCTGCCTTCTGATTGGACATTCCATTGGTCGGTCAAAGTTCGCACAAGGTCGGTCTGACGTGACCCGTAATGGGATGTCCTCAGATCTTTGTTTAGCGGAACCGAGAACTAAGATCTGGTTTTAATGAGATTGTGACAGAAGTAACTGCCCAATTCACGGCACTACTTACACATAAAACCTCATCAGTCTGGCATGGTTTTCTAACTCGTATCGCCCAGATTACTAAATTTCCGGTTTACCAAATTATGAATGATGAGTAATCATTCTCAAAGACGTTTACAGCAAGATGTCCAGATGGCGATTGTCCAGATTTCCATCTGCCCCATGTGCAAAGTCGCTCATGTGGTATTCCCTGTGTTGCTGCATATGTAGCGGCTCCAATCAGGGTCTGACTGACGAGGTTTCACGGGATACCTATTTTTATAAAGTTGCTGCGTTCCTACAATCAACACTCCTTCTCGGTGTACATTCCATTTAATACTGTCATGAGAATTTGGTGTGGTTAATTACAATGTCTCCATCATGTATTGAAGTGAAATATTGTGAAAATTTAAACACTAGCTCTTTTGCTGATGTATATTTTTGATTTTGGAAGAATCCTTATCAGCAACATGCTTTACGTGGTACACCCTGCTTGTCTGTACAGAACACTGGATATGCACAGAATATGCACTGTATCTGAGTGAGTAAGTGAGTTAGGTTTAATGCCGCTTTAAACAGTATTCAAGTTTTAAACGGCGTGTCAGCTTAATGTTGGAGGTAAGCCCGAAGTAAAGCATGTCTGAAACGTTTACCATTTTGGTGAACAGACCTAGTCCTAGTTTGTCACTGGACAAACCGGGATTTGATCATAGGTTTCTGGCATGTCCAAGAGATGCAACTCTTCACAGCAAATTGCAGCACCTTAGATGACTAGGCCACCCTTGCCTCTTACGTGACTCCGATCTCATATTAGCAAAACTCATAATGAGGTTGAATCTTTGAACACATGATCCATCAGACTCGGACAAGATTAAGGCAGACTTCGAAGCCCACCCCGACTTAGCCAATCCTGCCTCTTGCTGTGCAATGCATGGAATACATTAGTAAGTGAAGGGGCGGTTGGGTAGCCTAGTGGTTTAAGTGTTAGCTCATCACGCCGAAGACCCGGGTTCGATTCCTGACAAGGGTACAATGTGTGAAGCCCATTTCTGGTGTCCTCTGCCGTGCAATGCTGGAATATTGCTAAAAGTGGCATAAAACCATACTCACTCACTCACTCAGTAAGTGAAAATGAAACTGACTTCATTAAAACTATTCATTCTTTTGACCTTGAGTAAAAGATTAACAACATGTAGCTACAAAACATACAAATATTAGTGGCAAGTACAGAAATCATAAATACAACAGGTAACCACAGTAACTAAACAAAAAGAATACATTTGATTTCATGATTTTCAATCACATCAAAACAGCAAATATACAAAAAGGAGGGATGAGTTGAAAAAGCCATCATGATGTTCATCAGTTGTCTGTTAAACAGCTGTATCTTATGTATCGGATCATTAACACCATGCAGCCTAATGACCCCTGTAGCATTCCACATCAACACATCTGAACAATGTACAACCTCAGCGATCATGCGGATTCATAAAGATACTGTGACCATGGTGATGACAAATGAACTACATATGCTTTGTTTGTTTGTTTGTTTGTTGTTTAACGTCGCACTCAGCAATACTTCAGCTATATGCCGTCAGTCTGAAAATAATCGAGTCTGGACCATACAGTCCAGTTGCTTTGTTGTTGTTGCTTTGTTGTTTAACGCCGCACTCAGCAATATTCCACCTATATGACGGCGGTCTGTAAATAATAGAGTCTGGACCAGACAATCCAGTGATTAATATCATGAGCATCGATCCACGCAATTGGGATCAATGACATGCATCAACCAAGTCAGTGAGTCTGACCACCCGATCCTGTTAGAGGCCTTTTACGACAAGCAGAGTCATCTTTTATGGCAAGCATGGGTTGCTGAAGACCAGTCAAGTGATTGACACCTTAAGCTTTGAGATACTGCAGTACAATGACATGCATCAATCAAGTCCGTGAGTCTGACCCACCCCATTGATCATCTCTTGCACAACACGCTAAGGAACAGTGCACATGGACACAAGTCTACACTTTTTTTTCAGTGTACGGATTCCACTGAGCAAAACCAAGAATCACAATCATAAAGTAATTATTTATATTGCCCAAATGTGCAGTCTTTGATGGATTAGGAAAAATTGAGAAAACAATGTTACAAAATAACAGTAATTATTAACAAGATTAAGCAAGACACTTTAATAATAGATCAAATGAACAAGGCAACTGCAAACCGTGATTATAGAGAGGAACATAAATACATACTTTACTGTAAAATATTAAACAGTAACAGTATTTACTGACAGACCAAATCAAACTCTTGCCAAATAAAAATGAAAAATATTGAGCTACAAAAATATACATTTGGATCGACACAAGCTAATTGTTAGCTTAACCTGAAAACCATGAAATAATAAATATGACCCAATATTACCCACTGCAAACTAATCCTCAAGATGATATCACTGACAGTTGGCCTTAATGCATCCTCGATCATCCAGGGAATGAATCTCCAGTTTGTTTTATCGATACATATCCAGGACCAATTTCCAACCATACTTTAATTTTGACCCTTATTCAAATGGCAAAAATAGCCATTCAATGAAGTGACTGGATGGTGGGGAAAATCCGGTGTAGTTTTGTTTGTTTGTTTCTTGTTTAACCCCGCACTCAGCAATATTCCAGCTATATGACGATGATCTGTAAATAATCGAGTCTGGTCAGACAATCAAGTGATTGACATGATGAGCATTGATCTACGCAATTGGGATATGACATTCATCAGCGAGTGAACACTTGATCCCATTGGTCAGCAGGATTTGATTTTGGCCTTTCATAGCACTAATATATTACACTGAAGCAAGACCTGGCACGGTTTCAGTGGGAAAATAAGAAACGCTGTTTCTGCAAACATAGATTGTTAAAATTTGGTGTGGTCGATCAGCCTCTCCTGTTCTCCAAGTAGTATGTGAGAAAATGTAGATGAAGTATGGAGTGTTATGTGTATGCTACACTCAGGCCTACAAATGGACCTTATTTTAAGATCCATGTAAAGAGAAGAAACTTGGTTCAAATATCAAGAAATAGATTTCTTTCTTGCTGTTCACTGGCCAAATCATGCCTAGTGTTCCACTGTTCTGACACTGCCCATACAGCAAAATGTGACACTAATGCATCATTTCCAAAAATAATTCAGCAATGACACATCCATAAGCATGGGCATGGTGTTGATGAAAACCATTTACTTACAGTCCTTGTTTTATCCCCATATGCCGAGCGCCAGGCTATTTGGGGGATTCCCACCATCTTTTTCTAGCAAGGGATTGAATTTCAGCACCATAGATGCCTGACCTATCCTGTTCCCAGCAGTTACAGATGAAATACAACAGAGTGGTCCAGAGTGAATTCAAAGAAAAATTCATCTGTCTTTCAAAAACATAAATCTATGAAAAATCGTCCTCCCAATGTGGTTAGTTTTGTTTGTGCATACTATTTTCACTAACCTATATGCTTGAGGCTGTACATAAAAGAAGGCAGAGAATAAACAACCTATAATGTATACTACTGAAAACAAGTCAAGGAACACCCAAAACTGGAAGGCATGACAGATCAAACATAGTCATATGAAAAAACGTTCTCTAACTTCTTTTGAGTAGTATAAACATCCAGTATTAACCCCGCCTCACTAAGTAAGCTTGCCATTTTGATCTTCCCTCCTGCAATCAAATATATTATATCCTGGCAGTATTTCAGCAAAATGCAATATCTTGAAACAACTCATTTTGTTAATGTAACAAAAAATGAAGCTGTTTGAGAACCGTAGCAGGTCTGTACAAGGCCGGTCCCACAATGAACTGTGACACTTTGTCCAACACAGCTTCCAGCTGTGTTCCGCCCTGAACACATGGAGGTCACAATGGCACTGTAGCTCACTTCTTCTTGTCCTCCTTGCAGGCTATCACATATCTCTGTGCCACCATCAGCGGGGGCGAGTAGCCGTCATGGTAGGAGGTGTCCTCAAACAGCACGGAGTAGTCGTCTTGAGGCTGCAGCACAGATAAACAGCAATGAAACACTCTATGTGCTTTGTCAATATCATCTTCCTGAGTTAACTGACTATAAAAGTCCAGTCTCCACCCTTGCCGAACTAGGCTGGAATTTCTTGGCTCGACCGTAGCGCCACCAGTCATTTCACTTGCATTTGCTTTAACAAAATGGCATCAGTCAGATCAAAATTATGTAACGAAATCAACATCCGGTTCGAGAACTGCCGTACAGATTTCGGTCGATTGCAGGATTGCATGTGCAACTTAGCATCAAAAGATATCCAAATCTTTTCATGTTTTTAATAAAGATGCTCAGGAGATTTGATGCATCTCACAAAGAAAGACCAGTTTTATTACAATATAGATCTTGATTATTGATCAGATCATCTTCACTGGGTGACACCATCTTATTTGAAGCAAATGCAAGTGATATGAAAGGTGGAATCTCATAATAGCCACAGGTGGCGCCATGATTGAGCCCTGAAATTCCAGCCTTGTTGGGCAGGGTGGAAACTGGACTCTTATAGTCAATTACCTCCCGTGCCCCGGGAAGATGTACTTTACCACTGATTGTTATGCCAGGATAAGCTGGTAATGATTTATGCAGCTTGAAGAGCTTGTGGTTTGTTTTCTTTGCTTAATGCTAAAGATACAGGACATATTCAACACTTATCTCCTTACCCCTTTAGGTGGTGTGTCTACAAGAGCTCTATAGAAACACGTAGTCTGTGGATACAAGGCCAGTACAAGCTGAAACAGACAACAAACATGGTACATTTCAACAAAGAAAATTTTGTTTCATTCCACAGTTCATTTCTGTAGAAAACTCTTCACAGGTCCCTTTTGAGGTAATTATTTTCAAGGGTGGGGAGGGTAGTTCCACCTTGATTTTTTTTTAAAATAACGAATGTTATATCAGGATACATTTTGAGAATGATTCCAGTGAACAGATGAGTGAACGTTACTTATAACTACATCCACTCACAGTGTCCTTGGGGAACAGAGCATCAGGGTCCGTCTCCGGGTTGGCCTTCCAGATGGGAAGGGGGACAACTCTCCTCCTACTGATGGAGTGACGCCTACAATAAACAGGTAATATTCGGTGACAACTACTTTAGATAAATAAAGATTGTTCGCTAGCACCAACCTGGACTCATTACTGTTTTCAATATTGCTTATCACAACCTCCTGTAAACATGGTAAAATTGCTTTGACAAACAAGTGGTCGACTGCATGAACCCATAGATGCAATGTCACCATGGTAACCAAAAATAATAATATTACAACATGCTCAGATGATGTATGCAACATATATAGTCCCATAAATAAAAAATTATATTCATAATCGCTTATGGTGTTTTAGAAAGTTAATGATGGTTCTTCTCAGAATACTTTTTTCAACTCACTCTTTCCCCTCCTCAGCATCAATGTCATCCACTTCGTATTTATTGGAAGATGAATTATATGAAACGACTTCGGCAAGTATCCAGTTTTCCTCTCCATCCTGACCTTTGACCCTGGCTGCCACCTTGTTGCTGGACTTGGCAACGTAATTATTGTCTGCTGACACAGCTCCACACAAAGGCGGCGGTCTGAAATATTTAGTTTGAGAAGTGCTACAAATAAAACAGCCTGAAAATGTGTTCATGTTCAATTGGTTTAGGACAAACAAAAAATCAAACTGCCCTACCCTCATGATTTAAAGGAGAACTATGCAAATTTGAGCCAAGTCCCTCATTTTGTTTGTCTGCTAGTTCAATTTAATTATGTTTATCAATCTACCAGTTAATGATAACACAGAGATGTTTCACACATTAGAAGGCGACTAACGGGATCGGGGAGTCAGGCTCACTGACATGCTTCATGCTTGTCATCGTATCCCAATTGCATAGATGGATGCTCTTGATGTCAGTGATGCATTGTCTGGTCCAGACTTGATTATTTAAGGACCACTGTCATATGACTGGAATATTGCTGAGTGCAGCATTAAACAACAAACAAACAAACAAAACATGTGACTACAACTACCCACTTTTCCCCCGGCTTGCTGACCCACAGCGGTAGAGTGACGGCGTTTTGCTGCAACATCGTCATGAGAACACCACGGCGCATGATCTGCTTCGGTCGATCAACATCCCCTAAAAATGATTGATCATGAAAAGCTTTTACACAGGGTAAGCGCTTATGAAGTATACAGTGAGAACAGTTATAGTAGAGTTACCTCCCCTTTTCACATAAAACTACCTGCACCACAGGGAAAACTGACCCGCAAACACAAAAGAGCATCAACTGTATGTGTGTATCAAAAGAGCCTTAATATTTATTTAAGATTTGACTTCAATATTTTTGTGGGTTATGGAAGCATAAATGTGAAAACCTATGTGCACTTTGCGTAAATCTGCTTATTTAATCATGAACACAAAAAGACTGTCAACAGAGCTCCAGATAAGCTGCGTATCTGCGTGTAATACGCATCAGAAATGCAGAAATACACAGTAAAATATAATCCAAGAGTATCAAATACGCAACGAACATTACAGATACGCTACAAAAATAAAACGTGTGCGTATCATCAAAATATTGTGAAGTAACCCTGCGTATTCGATTAGCAAATCAGCAACTTATTTTGAAATTATAAAGGGGCATTCCGTCAACCTTGCCAAACTCCACGATGACAGTTACATCATGATCATTTGCCATCACACTTTCTTGTGGAAATATCGTGGTATTTTTTAGTCCTATAAAGCTCTCGAACCCACATGACACCAGTTTGCAGGGACTAGATGAATAGTGTTTTTAAATATTTAACTTAAATACCCACAAGTGTAAAAACTAGTGGGTAACAGAAATTTGAATACGCAGGTAGAATTACTGATACCCAATGATTTTAAAATTCATGGGTAAAATACCCACAACACCAAAAGCTTATCTGGAGCTCTGGTCAACAACAATGTGAAATCTGTGAAACCCTTCAACCCAATAATGCAACACAAGCCACACTTGTATTATCAGTCGATCAGGAAACAGCAATCTGTTCGCAGGTGAGACCCTTTTATTTTTGTTTTATGGGAACTCAAAACCAATTGTCACCGAACCACTTGCAATTTATTCATAAAAACATACTCTCCTTGCTTTACAGTTTCTAGTGATACTATGGGGTGCTTTTCTTACCATGCCTTTTGTCATTCTGAATGGATTTGATCTCACTGATCTTGTCCAGTGCCTTTCTCAGTAACCTAGAAATACAACAAGTAACGGGAAAGGTGTCAGTGAGAGAATATTGTTGGACACCGATGTATTGCAGCAGCCTGTAAACAATCAATAATGGGCCTGAGAAAACAGAGGTATATTGCATAAACCATGATTATCTTACATCTGCCCGATGAGGTGAATTGCGATTATATCCTCGATTATTGCACTTATATAGCAACTTGCGTGCATGCATGTGTGTGGATGCTTGTACTAGTCCAGACCATAGTGCTAGCCCACTCACATACAATGCCACAGTTTGGTGGATACCCCACTCAGACATAGTACACCGACTCCGAGCCAACCACTACCTGTTTTAGGCCCTAAATACCAAGAACTGGACAGGGTAAGAAGTCCAAACTTTTAACATCTTTTGGAGACAGCCTCCGTGGTCTAGTGGTAGAGCGTCCGCCCGGAGAGCGGAAGGTCCGGGGTTCGATCCCCGACCGCGTCTTTACCAAAAGACGTTAAAAGATAGTGCTTGTTGTTACCCTGCCTGGCGCTCGACATTAAGGGGCTAAAACATGGACTGGTCGGCTCGGAGTCAGTATACTGTGTCTGAGTGGGGTAGTTATGTTAAACTGCGGCATGGAATCTCAGTGAGCTAGCACTATAAATCAGCATCAGTCTGGACTAGTACAAGCAGCCACACACACACACACACACACATTCATGCACACAGACGTGGCTATGTAAGTGCAATAATCTTGGACGCAACGTTAAACCCCATTTCACCTCACCTAACATCTTTTGGTTATTCATTTTCAAGTTCTTTCAAGGCAAAATCTAAATTCAAGTCGTTTACAAGATAAATTTTTAAATTCCAGGTGTTTTCAAGGGGCTTGTGTAAACAGTCTTACTCAGCCTCAGCCTCCGCATCCTGCATGGCTGTGTTGTAGAGACCACGCAGCTTGTTCTTGTAGTAGGGAGTGACTGAAACACAGAGAGAAGTTGACAGACAATAATACATCTGGTATGGTTTGAAACTCTGATTCCGGTGACACCAACTTAATGTGGACAATAACACAAGTCATCAGAAGATGACAAATCCCCCCAGCCCCCGCAATAGCAAAAGGCATCACTTTGGATGAAACATCTTTCATGGGTTATGAATCTATGCTCCGGATATGGACGAACAGACCAGATAATGACAATCATATGCTAAGGGGTGGTGAAAAGTGGGAACATCTAATCTGAAAGCATTATTTTTTCTACTCTGCTGAATGTTATATCTTGTTAACAAAAGTACAACATGTTTAACTCAATGACAAAAAGCTACAGCAGGTTTAATATGTTTAACAACTGGACAAGCTTAACTAACACTATAAACAATATTCAGCATCTTCCCGAGGTAACTGACCAAAGAGGTCCAGTTCCATCCAATCAATATCATGAACTGAAACCAACATACAGTTCCATGAGCAGATTCCAGTCGACTGCAGGATTTGCTGAGATGTGTACCGTCAACTCGGCTTTGACGGATATTTTCTTACTCAAGGCGCTCAAGTAGTTTCATGCACTTTGCTAGGCAAGACACGCTCTATTACGATATAGATCTTGATTATTGATCAGACAGCCTTGACTACCATTTTGTTTGAAGCAAATGCATATCACATTATCGGTAGAATCTGATTGGGCTGCAGAAGGGACATAACTCATAATAGCCACTGGCAAGTAATGAAAAGCATCTGGTGAAAGATAAAATGGTCAACAATATCAGCGAACTCACATGATTTGTTCCTCTGTTCCTGCTGCATCCGTTCATGGGTTTTAGAAATATTGGTCAAATTGTGCTCACTACGGTCACGCTCTTTCTGAAAAGGAAGACAAAGTATCACATAAAATCCTTCGTCAGAGGCAATGGTGTTGCAATGATACTCATGGGAGAAGAGAGAGAGAGATCAAGCACCCCTTTACGATCATTGGGGTTAGGTACCAGTCACCAGTATGTTTTTACTTATGTATCTGAACAATTTGTTTCATGAAAGCATCTTGCAACAGTTAGTTTTTTGGTGGCAGAGAATTTCTTTTTATTCAAAAGGCTGAAGCATAATTATATTTTTTAATCATATTTCGGGTGGTCAGCCTTGCCGAGTTGGTTGATGCATGTCATCGTAACGCAATTACGTAGATTGATGCCCGTGATGTCAATCACAGGATTGCCTTGCACAGACTCAAATATTTACAGATTGCCGTCACATAGCTGGAACATTGCTGAGTGCAGTGTTAAACAACAAACAAAATGTAGTGTGTCTTCTTGACATGGTGAATGCTATCCACGAAAATAGTGTCGATTTTCCAGACATGCTGCTCTGACGTCATTGAAATATTGATAAGTACCCAAGCAAATCTCAGTTTGCTTGCACTAAGTTTTCTAGAGACTGTTTACCCATGTGTTTAGATATATGTAAGAATTATCGCGATTCTTTTTGCACTTTGGTTGGTTTGGTTGGTTCGCCGCACTCAGCAATATTCCAGCTATATGACGGCGGTCTGTAAATAATCAAGTCTGGACCAGACAATTCAGTGATTGATATCATGAGCATCAATCCATACATTTGGGATCGATGACATGCATCAACCAAGTCAGGGAGCCTGACCACCCGATCCCGTTAGTCGCCTCAGCACTTTGTAATTCTTGAAAATACCTGGCACTTTATCGAACAACTACACCCAGTTGTTCCACCGACCTGATAGACTGAGGTCAAGTCGTTTCTATTTCACATAGTGTTACCTGCACTTCATGTATGAGACCAAAAAGTTCTTTTAACAGCTCCTTGATTCTGATTTCGGCCACTTGTCCTGTGTTTGCGCCCGGCGTCTCCTGTCCTGGACTCCCACCCGGGCCACCCCCGGGACCTCCGCCAGATGAGGTCTTGCTCCGACCCATCTCAAACTGAGCTTGTAATCCGTGTTTCAACCTCTAAAAATCCATATTCTGAAATAAAGCACGGAATGAATAAGGCAATGTCTTCCGCACTACTGACGCTGGTTTGTAGTTGACAGTGCTTCTATTTTTTACTCAACAGTGAATTCCTCCGACTTGCTAATTTTGTCGTTAAAACTGTACGATGTAACGCCCAAATATAAAAGTAGTTAACTGGCAGAATCAAAATGAATCACAATGAAGCGTTAGTTAATATTAACGCATTCTGCCTTTGATTGCTTACCTCGGCTCCTTTTGCCGCAAGCCAGACCGGAAGTTTACTACTAAACGGTGTGTATGTAAGGGCAATTTTCATTGGTCCAACAGCAATTTGCTAAAAATGGAAAATAAGCTTTAAACGAAATGAAAAATAGAATAAGAAACACAAGAGAATTGTTATGTGTCGCATACAACTATGTATTTAATCGACAAACAGTTAATAAGAGAAAAATCCCCTTGTCTTCTTGTGTTGTTTTTTTCATTTGAACTTCCTTTTGCATCTTGTGAGCAGAATCTGAATGTAATGGGTCAAATTTGCTAATTTTCAGATATTTGCTACGATATTAAAAATATTACTCATCTCCCATCGACCAGAAATGGTATAACGCCTTTAAATCTACAATTATTGGAATGTTAAGATTTTATTTTGACTGGTGATAGTACATCACATTTCTAAGTTGTAAGCAGAATCTGAATACAATGAGCCATTATTGCTAATTTAAAGAGATTTTTTTACTATTGCTCATATCCACTGGACCAGAAATGGGACACGCCTTTCACATGTACAATTAAAGGAATACTTTTTGCTGTTGACAATACAATCTTATAAGCATATACTGAGGGGTCATAGTCCAAGATTGATATTGATAATTATTGATTATTTATTCATGATTGTATTACGGTAATCAAGCCATGCAGAGTGAGTTAGTATGGTTTTACGCCGCTTTTAGCAATATTTCAGCAATATCACGGCGAAATGGGCTTCACACAGTGTACCCATGTCGGGAATCGAACCCGGGTCTTCGGCGTGACGAGCTAAAGCTTCAACCACTAGGCTACCCGACCGCCCCTAAACCATGCAGAAGTGGCATAACACCTTTAATTAAGATCTATAAACTGTGGAATATTTATAATTAATTTTAGCTGATGATAGTGGTTAGGACTACAAACTTATTAGCAAATATTGAGAGAGGTCATGCATGATTGATATGTTCATAGTGATTATTATACGAGCATATGTGTGTCATACTGATTTTTCAAAAGGAAAATTTACATTTACATACACACATTTTGGGCTAAAAATATAATATCGACATGGCTTAATATATCTTTCATGTCATTTCGAAATCTCCCAAACAAGACAAACTGCAATTTCACATTGAAGCTGTCTGCTTCCTAAAACACTGAGGTAACTATACGCATTTCTGTAGGGTCTCTAGATTTTACTGGTGGATGCGTGTATGAGCCGTCATACCAGTCTTACTCTTCGATCTGTTGGTTTTAAATTTACACATGAAACTTCTGAGTTTGTGTTCCCTGCATCAGGTATATGTGATAGGACTACGTGTTAAGGAGGTGTTGTAGGTTCCCAGTTACTTGCATATGAGGGTAGATTGCCACCCTGAAACAATCGTCAACATCCAGCTTGGATATGTTGCTTCTTACATGTTTCTAAGCTTACATTGTCTGCATCAACAGCATTCTAAAGTATGTATAATATAATACATTCGATACAAACCCTCTATCGTTATCTATCGTTCTGAGTGATGGATATTTTATATCCGATATACAACATCCTTCGCCTTTATGTCTGAATAATGTATGTAACGTGTCCGATATTCACATTCCGACGTCTTTCACTTTGAATGATGTATGTAACGTGTCCGATATACACATTCCTTCGCCTTTATGTCTGAATAATGTATGTAACGTGTCCGATATACACATTCCGTCGCCTTTCACCTTGAATGACGTATGTAACGTGCCCAATATACACATTCCGTCGCCTTTATGTCTGAATAATGTATGTAACGTGTCCGATATACACTTTCCGTCGCCTTTATGTTTGAATAATGTATGTAACGTGTCCGATATACACATTCCGTCGCCTTTCACCTGGAATGATGTATGTAACGTGTCCGATATACACATTCCGTCGCCTTTATGTCTGAATGATGTATGTAACGTGTCCGATATACACATTCCGTCGCCTTTCACCTTGAATGATGTATGTAACGTGTCCGATATACACATTCCGTCGCCTTTATGTCTGAATAATGTATGTAACGTGTCCGATATACACATTCCGTCGCCTTTATGTCTGAATAATGTATGTAACGTGTCCGATATACACATTCCGTCGCCTTTATGTCTGAATAATGTATGTAACGTGTCCGATATACACATTCCGTCGCCTTTATGTCTGAATGATGTATGTAACGTGTCCGATATACACATTCCGTCGCCTTTATGTCTGAATGATGTATGTAACGTGTCCGATATACACATTCCGTCGCCTTTCACCTGGAATGACGTATGTAACCTGTCCGATATACACATTCCGTCGCCTTTCACCTGGAATGACGTATGTAACGTGTCCGATATACACATTCCTTCGCCTTTATGTCTGAATAATGTATGTAACGTGTCCGATATACACATTCCGTCGCCTTTCACCTTGAATGACGTATGTAACGTGCCCAATATATACATTCCGTCGCCTTTATGTCTGAATAATGTATGTAACGTGTCCGATATACACTTTCCGTCGCCTTTATGTTTGAATAATGTATGTAACGTGTCCGATATACACATTCCGTCGCCTTTCACCTGGAATGATGTATGTAACGTGTCCGATATACACATTCCGTCGCCTTTATGTCTGAATGATGTATGTAACGTGTCCGAAATACACATTCCGTCGCCTTTCACCTTGAATGACGTATGTAACGTGTCCGATATACACATTCCGTCGCCTTTATGTCTGAATAATGTATGTAACGTGTCCGATATACACATTTCGTCGCCTTTATGTCTGAATAATGTATGTAACGTGTCCGATATACACATTCCGTCGCCTTTATGTCTGAATAATGTATGTAACGTGTCCGATATACACATTCCGTCGCCTTTCACCTGGAATGATGTATGTAACGTGTCCGATATACACATTCCGTCGCCTTTATGTCTGAATGATGTATGTAACGTGTCCGATATACACATTCCGTCGCCTTTATGTCTGAATGATGTATGTAACGTGTCCGATATACACATTCCGTCGCCTTTATGTCTGAATAATGTATGTAACGTGTCCGATATACACATTCCGTCGCCTTTATGTCTGTAGGTTGTTTGTAACGTGTCCGATATACACATTCCGTCGCCTTTCACCTGGAATGATGTATGTAACGTGTCCGATATACACATTCCGTCGCCTTTCACCTGGAATGATGTATGTAACGTGTCCGTTATACACATTCCGTCGCCTTTATGTCTGAATAATGTATGTAACGTGTCCGAATTACACATTCCGTCGCCTTTCACCTTGAATGATGTATGTAACGTGTCCGATATACACATCCCGTCGCCTTTCACTTCGAATGACGTATGTAACGTGTCCGATATACACATTCCGTCGCCTTTCACTTCGAATGACGTATGTAACGTGTCCGATATACACATTCCGTCGCCTTTCACCTTGAATGACGTATGCAACATGTCAAATATACAACACCCTGCGTTTCGTTCTGAGTGATGCATATAACAAGTCATAAAACATGCCATATCTGTAGTATAGATTTGTACTCGCCCACTGAGAGTGTTCTGTAAATAAATATCTGGAATCTTGAATCTTGAATCCGATATATGAACTCCCCCGATTTCATTTTGAATGATATATATAACACGTCTGATATACACACACATCCGCCTTTCATTCTGAATGATGTATATAACGAATTCTATATACACACTTCCTCGCTTTTAATTCTGATTCATGTATATAACATGTCCGATATACAACACCCGGCGTTTCATTCTGAGTGATGTTTATTTTATGTCCGATGTACGTGATGCACTTCCCCGTATTTCTTTCTCAATTATATACATTTAACATATCCGATATGCACCATCCCCCATAGTTCGGGCTTTTCGTAAGAGGCGACTAATGGGATCGGGTGGTCAGGCTCGTTGACATGGTTGATGCATGTCATCGATCCCAATTTCGTGGATCGATGGTTATGATAAAAAACACTCTGTTCTCAGTCTGGACTGAAGACACGTCTCTTCAACAACTGCAGCTGAAGAATATGATATCTTATCTCCTACAAAATCCCCTTCTCTGCAGCAGTACCTTGGAACAAACTGCTACCGGATGTCCAGACTTCACATCATCTATCATTCTCCCTCTGTTCTCAGGCTGGACTGAAGACACATCTCTTCAACAACTGCAGCTGAAGAATATGATATCTTATCTCCTACAAAATCCCCTTCTCTGCAGCAGTACCTTGGAACAAACTGCTACCGGATGTCCAGACTTCACATCATCTATCATTCTCCCTCTGTTCTCAGGCTGGACTGAAGACACATCTCTTCAACAACTGCAGCTGAAGAATATGATATCTTATCTCCTACAAAATCCCCTTCTCTGCAGCAGTACCTTGGAACAAACTGCTACCGGATGTCCAGACTTCACATCATCTATCATTCTCCCTCTGTTCTCAGGCTGGACTGAAGACATATCTCTTCAACAACTGCAGCTGAAGAAAATATCTTATCTCCACACAAAATCCCCTACTGTCCGTAAATTGCCTGAGTAAACATTTCAGTCATTTCACACATTGACTGATTAAGATTTTCGTTCTTGGAGGCCGTTGAATCCCCTATTAACCTGACGTTTTTAATCGACTCCTCTAGAAGTATCGACAAGGAAAACTTCTATGTGGGACAAATATTCCTCCCTGAATTTGTGAGTAGCAGCGATTCCGTACGCACAGGAGGTACACCAGAGAGATACCTTTGACTTCAGCACGTACACCACTGAGACCGACGTCGCTGACGCCATTGTCAACATGCCCTACAACTCCGGGCGTGCTTCCAACACCGGGAAAGGTATATCAGCATCATGGTGTAACGGGCACGACACAACGTTACAAGAGTCTGCATCGTGGTGATTGATGGCCAGAGTCAAGACCCCCATAGGACGCTGTATGAGGCAGGGAGGGCGCGTTCAGAAGGAGTGAAGACAATTGCGGTTGTTGAGACCTCGGACACTCGGGAGCCGAGTCATATCGCAGGAA